GGTGGGGGCCGAGTCTGAAGCGAGGTGAGGCAGGGCTCGGGGGCGCGGTGAAGGCCCAGTCTGAAGCGAAGCGAGGCTGGGCTGGGGACCGAGGCGAAGCCAGACGGTAAGGGTCGAGGCCCGGCTGGGCCCGGGATCGAGGCCAAGCTTGGGACCGAGGCGTGGTGGGGCGGGCGCGTAGGGCTAGGCTGGTTTTTCCGGGGGGTCAGTCTCCGGCTTAGACCCCATGACAGCCCAGAGCCGCCGGGTCTGGCGCCCGGAAGTCGGGGCCGGCCGTGGGCTCCCCTGGAAGCCCCGTTTCCTGCTCCGCCTCCCGCCTCGGGGTTTAGAGGACCAGGAAACTGAGGCCTCAGTCCCGGGACGCGGCCAAGGTCACGCGATGACCAGGGTTTGAGCCCAGTTCCTGTTTGCTTCGAGGACGGGACGGGCTGGGTGGAGTGGGGTGGGGCCGGGGTTCCTGGGCCCCGCTGTGGGGCGAGGCCCTAGGCCTAGGGTCTGAATGAGAACGCCTGTGCAGGGTCCTTTATCAGAGCTTGCTGCAACGCCGAGCTTGTTTCTTGGGCCCCGTTGGCAGAGTTTAGAACACTTTTCCGAGCTGGTGAATCTTTGACCTACCCATAGAACGATGGCCTCCCTAACAGAATGCCTTAACACTTTCTTGTTGCACAATCCAGGTGGTTATGGTCAGTAAAATTGTAGCTGTGTTAATAAGGCTTGGCAATTAATTACAGAGTACTTAAAATATTAGCTAGTCAGCTCAGATGGCACTTCTTAGCTAGGTGGCACTCTCCAAATTTCCTCAAAATATGAAGTTGCTGTTTTAAATAAATTGAACAGAATTGCACAAGAAGTTATTGGCAAGAGAGGAGGGAATTCAAATGCTTTGGAGTGGTTTGGGAAGTCACTGTTGAGAGTTGTGTAGTAGGTTCCACTGGTCAGCTCTGTTTTGTTTTGTTTTTTAAATACTGTTATTGATTTCAGAGAGGAAGAAAGAGATAGGAACATCAGTGGCGGGAGAGAATAATTGATAGTCGAGCCCATAATCCAACATGTGTCCTGACTGCCCCTGACCTGGTATCCAACCATGATCTGATTCATATGTCAAACCTCAACCATTGAGCCACGCGGACCTGGGTCAGCTCTAGTTCTTGTTTCAGAACTAGTGGTCAGCACTTTATTCTGCCAGCTATTTTGCACGATGGGTCTTGCCTTTCCAGCTGTGTGTCTGAAAGAGTGAGATGCTGATGTGCATTATGGCCCTTTGCTGGGGCAATTCCTAGTATCAACTAAGTATGTTGTCCTCAAGAGTTTTGAGCAACTTCCATGAGTAGCCAAATCTAAGAACTTGAAGGCATGGTGCTACTAGCTAGTTGGGTACAAAGTTAAGAGTAATTGAGTGTGTGTATGTTAATCACAAATTTGGTCACATTTTTGGAATGTGCTATTTTCTTCTCAAAAGTTTTTTCTCCATAATGGACAGAATGTAGCTGTGCCTCCTCACAGGTGTCACTGTCTTCAGGAATGTCTTGTCGAAAGTAAGTCCTTATCACTTGGGCATTAGGAACATGCTATTTCCCGTGAGGGCTGTCTTCAGATACAGGTATTCAGAATTGCTACTTCAAAAACACTTAAAATAGTTGGCTTGGATAATAGCTGACTCACATGCTTTTTAGTTCACCACTAAGAAAGTTAGTAGAAAGCAAAAACTGGTTCTGTGCTTCTCACAGTTCTGGTTTTTAAATTGTGTGGTCTAGCTATTTGCTTTACCTCTTGCACAATTTGAAGAGGACATTCAGACCTGCTAAGCTGCCTCTACCAATACCAAATTTGCTTGAAACTATAAGAAGGTACATTTTGATTTACCTGTAGATTTCAGTGGAATTTGATGTGGAGTATTGGTCACAGGGATGATTTGGAGCATCAAATGGGCACAGGAATAAACCTAACCAAGGAGAAAACTCTGTGCAATTTCATCAGTAGTGTGTTAATTTGGTTTGAGAGAGCGGAATCAGTTTTCTTCAGCTTTTCCAAATTGAATGTTGCTTTGACATGCATTTTAATGTGCTCTTGATCACATAAGGTCAGTCTTCCTAAGGGTTGTGATAGTTTACTGAGCAAGTGTTTCAGATCCCAGTTAGGTTGGGCTTGCCAATACCATTCATGACCATCTCTGTGTCCCATCAACATTCTTCCCATTGACTTCCAACCTTTGTAGAATTAGGAGAATGAAAGGAAATAAAGTGCACATCTGTCAGAGGTGGGTGGGAGAGAAACATGAATGAAAAGTTTCGTTTTAGATCTTAAAATTAGAAAAGAACTTATCTCTTGTACTCTGTCTGTACCTCTGTGGAATGGATGGTGTTAAAGATGTCCTTCCAGCATCATCTGAGGTGGTCTTTTGGAAATGATTTTGACCTATTAGTGGGGTTGGGTGTACCCTTCCTACTGGCAAGTAAAGGACACCTTGGAGAATATGTGAGTGTATGTGTGTGGCGGGATTGATTTCAGGTCACATATAACATCTCATCTCACTTCCTTCATCTTAGGTTCTGTCCTTTTATGTTAGAAACCCTTTAAAATATAGTTGCATTGCACCTGTTATGACTAGCTGTGTCATTATTCATCAAAGCTTAGTATTCCTAAGAAAGTACTCTGGGTGAGCACCATTGCTATCTCTCTACTTTCTTTATATGAGTTGGAAGGAGTGGTGAGTCTGCCTGATGTAGGAACCTACCACATGCGGCTCTTTGGCGCCTTGAGTGCGGCTCTTCCACAAAATACCATGTGTGGGCGCGCACGTACAGTGCGATTAAAACTTTGTGGCCCATGCGCAGAAGTCGGTTTTCGGCCTGGGTGAGTCTATTTTGAAGAAGTGGTGTTAGAAGAAGTGGGGGGTGTTGGTCGGAGACAGGAGGGACAGGAGACAGTACGGTGCAGGCGGGCCACAGGATACGCAGCGAGGGGGAGGCGCGCGATTCATGAGTTGAGGATTCACGAGTTGAGGATTTGAGAGTTGGAAGGGGTCAACCTCAGCGAACGTACCTCAATCAAATTGTGGACGTTTTTAGCAAAGGCCAGCTTAGGAGTACCCTAATTAAGTTAATAACAATGTACCTACCTATATAGTTTAAGTTTAAAAAATTTGGCTCTCAAAAGAAATTTCAATCGTTGTACTGTCGATATTTGGCTCTGTTGACTAATGAGTTTGCCGACCACTGGTATAGGGCATAAATTAATAGGAGGCTCAGGTATGACCCATACACATTTTCAGAAGTTAATGTATATAGTGCATTTTGGAAATGTTGGTTAATGTTTAATCAAAGTTTAATAAGTAATGCTCCTCAAAGGGATGCTAGCAAGTCATAATGTAAAATACCTATCATCTCTCATTTGTGTTATATGTCAAATTGTTTTTGCTGTACCCTATCAGTTTAACTTAGGTACAAATGGCCAAGAAAACAATTTTAAGATTTTGTCTAGACCAGCCGTGGGCAAACTACGGCCCACGGGCCGGATCCGGCCCGTTTGAAATGAATAAAACTAAAAAAAAAAAAAAAAGACCTTATCGTTTTATGTAATGATGTTTACTTTGAATTTATATTAGTTCACACAAACACTCCATCCATGCTTTTGTTCCGGCCCGCCGGTCCAGTTTAAGAACCCATTGTGGCCCTCCAGTCAAAAAGTTTGCCCGCCCCTGGGCTAGCTCCACAGAAAGGGTGTTTGGGGAATTTGTGAGAGCAGCAAGAATGCATTCTGTGTGATTTTCATATCTTAGACCTAATTCTGTTTTATCTACAGAGGCAACAATTTCCGTTTTTTGGCATGGTTTTAATAGATGTTTTGAATTTTCCAGGAAGTCAGGGAGTGGGGTTTATATTTTGTTCTTTACAGAACCTTCCCATGAGTTGCTTTCTTTTTCTGCTTCATGAACAGTCCCCTAGTGCCTGAGCTGCAGGTACTGGCTCTGGCAGTGTGCATTGTGGTAGGCTTCTGCGGTGGTTCTTTGACAGCCTCTCTCAGCTGATGGTGTGGTCGTGCCCAGTATTGAAACATGTGTTTTATTCTAAGTCACTATCCTTCATTTCCTCATTACATTACAGTTGGGCAATATAATGGGTGTTTTACAAACAGAGCAGATGTTGGTTGTATTGTCTGCTAACTTCCTTTCGTGACAGTGGAGGTGGTGCTGTGAAATGCCCATTCTGACCTGTGTAAGGACCCTGAATTAGCATGTGGTGTTTCAGTCTCCTCTTGCTGGTATTGAGAACACCTTGTGGAGTGGAAGCTACAGGCTGTTGAGATGCCAGAGAGGAGATGAGGTGGCTGTATCAGGGCACAGGCACATGATGGTGCGGATGCATCTTTCAGAGGGAGAGGTGGAACTTGCTGGTAAAGCAGACAGATTTGGGGGTGAGAGAGATAGAGAAAGGGATTGTAGGTATCTAAGAAACTGGGAGAAAGTTGCTCAGATTAAAGTGAGGAAGGGTGGGCCCTTTATGTTGGAGGGTTAGAATTCGCTGGGAGATTTGTGTGTGGATGGGATGGTAGGAATGGGGTAGCTAGGATGAGGGCGGGATCTAGCTGGGAATAGAAATATGGGCCATGTTCAGGGGCCACACTCCCCTGGAAGTAAATGGCTGAGAGAGGCAGTGTTGGAGTGTGATTGTACCAGACGCAGAGTGCAGAGGGCAGTGGCAGTGATCTGGGAGATTTTAAGGAGAGGCTAGTGTGAGCAGATGTGTGAATGAGATTTCTCTTGACACTAGGGCTTCTGTTTAAAGCAGTGGTTCCCAATCTTTTTTTGGCCATGCCCACCTACACATCTCTAAAATCCTGATGCCCCACCTGTAACATATAATTCTTACTATTCAAAAAGTGAACTTGTATTCATATGGAGGAATCCTAAAAGGCCATTAAGTTGGTCTAAACAAGCTTCCAAAGAACATGGCATCCATAAAAGAGAAAAATAACGAACGAAAGGACAGTTGAAGTACTGAGGAAGAAATCACTAAAAAAAAAAATATTAAAAATAATCCTATATATGCTAATATGCAAATTGACAGAACTGCGGAATGACCGGTCGCTATGACGCACACTGATCGC